AATCTCTAATTTCAAGGCATGCTTTACCTTTGAAAATTGTCTCAACCTGTCCATGGACACAAATTTCATGAGATTGTAGCACCATCTAATGTTATCCACTTGTTTACAAAAAGTAGCACAAAAACCAACTGGTCATCAAATAATATACACCTTATGTAGTCCTTATGTTTTCAACCACATACGTTTATATTAAAAAAAAAATGCTGTATTATGTTGTTTATGATGATGAGAATTTCAGTTGGATTATTACATATATATTACATATATCCACATGGGAAGAAAAACGTTAAAATACAATCAATTTACAAATCTTACTCCTCAGGTAAATAAAGCAGATAGGTTTGGCATCTCTACAAAGTGAGTGGTGAAATCTTTGCATATAAATGCAAACTGGATTTTTCTGTCTTCGTATTGTGTATCATTAAATGTGTGTCAAAAAGAAAAGTAGACGTTTGCATCATCCTGTATTCTAATATTTTACCTCACTAGCTTATACAGATCAGATACAGGTTTGAAGGTGAATTAAGCATGAACCAAAGTTCATAATACAGAACAATGTACAGCTAAAAACAAAAAGTTACAACAAAAGCTGAATCTACAGAATAAGTTTTCCACTTCACAGAAGACTCTTTAGTTAATGTACGGAGACTTAATGATAACGCAAAATGAGAAAATATTACCTCTGTATGAAGCTCCCGCATGATCTCATACATGTCTAAGAGTACAAACAACTTTTCTGGAGATCTCTTGCTCCTGGCTATAGCATCCCCAAAGCTAAGTAGCATTGAGACACTGCTCACAGTAACTTCTGCAAAACATTGATCACTAAGAGAATCGAAGCCTCTAAATATCTGGTCACATACTTGCCTTTCTCCGGCAAAGAGTAATTTAACCTGTTGAAAAATATCTTGAGTTAGGAGGAATCAACATAACATGTTAGAAATATTTCAAACTCCAAATAGCGTTCTTACAGCAATGCGCATGAAATGAATCCAGTTTCCAATTTTGGCCTCCAAAACTTCCCACTGCATCCTCTGAACATCCTCTTTACTAAGTTTTTCAACTCCCAATTTCTTTAGGCTTTCTTCCAAGACAAAAGAGCGTGTTTCTCTGAGCACAACAAAAGATTGAGCAGAAGGAAATTAAAATCATTTCAAAACACACAAATGCATCTGAAACATGTACTGAGAATATGCAATAGATTATGCAGTTCACTGCATAAATCTGAATATACTAGTTGCGGTATCACATAGTTCATATGGAAGAAAAAAAGACAAAGCTGCTGCATTGCATTAAAAGTATGAGACAAACAGCATCACATGATATCAAACCTAGCAATCATTTTTCAGATCAGATAAACAAAAACAGCAGAGAGCACGATGTCCACATCTCAGCCAAATATTTGATTATGTTCATGGAAAACGCAGATATCCAAGACCCATAAATATTTCCTTGGTGAGTTTGACTAGAAAATCCATATTTTTAGCTACACTTCTTTCTAGCTTAACTAGTGAAACAGTATAAGGATAGTAAAATGTAAACTCACAACTTGTGGAAACCTTCGAAAACTAACTCTTTGCAAATGAGTAATGAGCAATTTTATGCAAACCAATTGTATAGCCATATTCGTTATAAAGCAACTATAGCTTGCCCATTACTTTGACTCATGTTACAATTATTTACTTGAAAGTTTAATCTACAAGCATGATTTGACAATGAATTGTATGACATAAGGGATGAGAATCAAAATTTCACCTATAAATTTGTAGCAACTGTTGCTGGTGACCAGCCTGAACCATTTGCTGGGCCAAATCATGCAAAAGTGGCAATACCCTTGACGGAATGAGGATTGGAAGTGTATAAGCAGCAGTCTCCGCGTCATCATTGTGGTGTCCTCCATGGGGCATTTTTCCACCATCACCGTCTGAGGATGGTCTCAGTGAGTTCGGAAGACCATCAAAAAGGCGATCAGGCTCCACAGCTTTACTGATTATATAACAAAGACAAATCAAAAAGGGGAATGAGGACAAGATGAATATAGTTGGTTCAAAAAAGACACTTAATTTATACTTCGAATACAGTCACACGTATCAACCGTGTTCTAGAAACCCTTTTGTAAGGTACAGAAGAACAAACCTGTAAGAAGCTAACAATTGCTTAAACTCCTCTTCCAGCTTTGACTGTGCTTTAGCAAGCAAGCTATTCGCATGGTTAAGAGCTCCATCACTACTCTTAAAGCTTTTGTTACTGCTAAAATAACGTATAATCTTCCTGAGCTGAGCTATTGCATCCAGATAACCTTCCAGATCCTCATGTGGCCCCTTGAGTACTTTAGTCTCTGCCTAGAAATGAATTGAAAGAATAATAAAAAATCGATTTCAAGTTACAGCAACGTAAAACCTCAATGTAGATCACTAAAATTAGACAATGTTAATTTCACCAACTAACATAACTAAGCTAAACACAAATCCAATGCTCAAGATAATATCTATCTATTTATATCGATCAATCTTTGTATACAGTGAATGAATGAAATCTCAATATGAATGTGAAGCRAAAAAAACGTATAATCAGAAGACAAACCTGACGAAGGAGATCAAATTGAGACAAAATAACCTCAGCAGATTTAAGAGTCTTATCAATATTCTCATGAGCTTTCCTTATAGCATGAGTCCTAATCTGAGATTTCACAGTCAACACAAAATCCCAATCAAGTCAGCAACCAAAAATTCTTTCCAGATCTACATACAGAAACACGATCGGAGCAAAAACAGACCTGAGTAGGACGCATGGCGGTTTCGAGAGCAGAAAGACGACTATCGAAGGAACCAAGGATTGAAACAACATTGTCGGTGATTGTTTGACTCTTTTGAAGAGATTGTCTCATCAATAAGGCTCTTTCGCTAAGCAGATCCATTCCGCTATCTACAGCCATGGCTAATCGCAAAATTGAAGAAAGATACTTT